GCGGCCTGGACCTTCGCCATCGGGTCGCCTTCTCCTTGGGTCATTCGACGCGCGTTAAAATCCTCGCGCCAAGCAGAAGATCGTGTGATCTTCTTCACAACAAAGTCAAGCTGATATTTAATATGGAAATGTCAGTGTGAATCTAAGACAAAATCATTCGATTGGGGATGAGATACATACGTCTTGAGTCAATACTTTCAGGCCATTCAATTTAGTTCTGGTCGGCTTAGGGATGATGTCGATGGCCTCCATATCCCAGTGGTCGTCCTCGGCTTCATCCCCTGCTTTTTCATCTTCTGAATCACTTAACTCATCTGGGTGATGTTCAACATCATCCTCTTCATCGGAGGCGGAGGATCCTACAAGTATGGCCGGGTCAATTTCGTCTTCTTCATCTCCAGCTTCATGAATAGTCGGTAAGTCCTCAGGTGACGGGAAAAATCCAAGGACCGTGTGGCGCTGATGATTCGTTGGAAGGCCCAGGGCTGCGATTCCGGCGTTAACGATGAGACCGATCTTGTGACACATGCATTTGACATGCATGGTCTCAGGATCCCAAGAGTAGTCGGATGAAAAGTTGTCATGTTCCTGTAGTTGTTGATGCATCTCAGCTGCCAAAGTCACGTTGTTTGACGCTGAGTCAGTTGTATGAGCTAGCATGTATTAACACGAACAGCATGTCAGCAACTTCCTTTTCATAAGTAATTTACCAATATGTAAACAACTTATCTTTTGGTAAATATTGTGTTTCTTCAGTACCGTCACCAGGGGCTCTGCAAGCCACACTCCCTTATGGTGATGAGCAACTCGCTTGAGCGTAAGGTGCCGAGAAGTGTAGTTCCAGTCTTCGTCGATAAAGCTGGCAACCCCACCAACAAAAGCCCACAAGTTACCTTTGACCGTCCAAACGTTGTGAGTTAAGGTAAACTTTCCTGGAATTGACTGAAACATAGACGAAAACAAAGAAATAATATTCGATAAATCAATAAATAAATTAAAACGAAATACTATAATCATGATCTAAAATATATAGATTACAAAGATGAAAGAGAAGGAGCATTACTCACCTCAAGCTCACTGTAAACAGTGTCTCTTAGATTAAGGTGCAGGTGTTTGGCCTTGTTAGCAGTCCACTTTCGATGGTAAAGTCGAGCATCCGGTCGAGCGTAATAAAAAGCAGCCTGAAGTAGAGGGTCTTCGATGCGGGACCACGGCAAGGCTTGCCGTACCTGCCATAGTGTCAGAATGCGGTTGAAAGTTTTCATATCGAACTTTGGCATGACTGTAACAAAATTATTCATTGTCGATACTTTATGTGCATCCGCTAATTTCTTCGCGTTGACCTCAGCAACGCTCGGAGGGAGCTTGCAGCCACGAGCTATCGCTTCCTTACGGCGTGGGCAACCTGTTTTAGATTGGCCTGCCTGATTAGATCCATCGCGATGAATCTTCAGATTTGATTGAGTTGTCCCATGACCGCGGCAGACTTTGCCACACCAAAGGCAAGTGAAGTCCAATGGGCATCCTGGGTCCTATAGGAAAAGTACCATCAGTTCGCTGAATCTTGAACAAGAGAGAGCATATGTATACGGGGAAAACTTACATCCTCGTGACCAGGGGTTGGTTCATCAAAATATAAAGAGATGTCATCATAACCGTCGCCTTCCTTTAA